GGTCCTGGTAGAGCGTAAAAGGGAAGGGAGACGTGGGAGGGGACCTCGGAGGTATGGAAGAAGGTGGGAGAGAAGAGAGTAGAACGCGAGGGACGCTAGGCAGTAACTCACGCCCCCGAGAGGATTACCTACCTTGGCAAGGCTGGAGGAGGGTATATCCCACGTTGAGCTACGATCTTGCTGCGTAGCTACGCGTTCCTCATACCAAGTGTCCTCGGTACTCCCGTGCCGCGTGCAAACAGGGTTCTTTGAGAGCATGAGCGCGTTCCGGATGGCACCGGAAGACCGAAACTGGTGATACGTGAAGAGACTATTGCGTTTCAAATGAGACGGAATATTATTACAAGATGCGCTCAAAAGGGGCATAGAGCCCCTATTGCCACACGAAGTAAAACTAAATGAGATATAATAATTTATAACATAAAAAGGCGCGTTAAAACATGCGTATTCGTATATACAATCATTTATTCCTTTTATTTTTATTGCTATGTTTGTGAAACATTGAAAAATTATTAATTTAAAATATTTAATTTTAAAATTTAAAATTTCAAGTTATAAAAATAATGGCACTTGTATTAATATCAGAATATTTAATAGTACATATTTAGTTTATAAATATGATTATGTTAAAAAATTATAAAGTTGAATCATCTCTTAAATCAATATTTGGTAGATAATACTTTTTTGAACATTTACAAATCAGTACACTTAAAAGTTTTTCAAATTTTAATTTAAATTTTAAAAAATTATTAGGTGTTGGAATTAATTCGTAGCGTTTTTTAATGAAAGAATGTTATTTATTTCACATGAGCATTAAAAAATACATTAATGAAAGTACTTCTCATCACTTGTAAAATGCTACGAATTAATTCCAACACCTAATACAATTGGAAATATATACAAATGCATGATAATATAGGAAAGCGCAGTATCTATAATAGGATATAATTTTGCCATATAATATTTCTGTTTTCGTTAGCTTTCAAAAATACAATTCAATTTGCATAAAACTTTATATCACTTAATGAATTTAATTATTATTTAATTTAGCGAGAAATACAAGGATTCTCTGATGATTGATGTAGCATCAGTCTTATATACAAAAACCGTCTAACGTTACTGAAACTCGGAGGGATAAGCCTACAAGAGATATCTCAGGAAGTCTGGGAAGTCCTTCATGAACCCAATTCACTTACTTTGATTTGATTGGTCCCATGTATGATTCGACTTCGTATGTGTGTGTGTGTGTGTGTGTGTGTGTGTGTGTGCGCGTGCGTGTGTGTGTGTGCGCGTGTGTGTGCGCGTGTGTGCGCGTGTGTGCGCGTGTGCGTGCGTGCGTGCGTGTGCGTGCGTGCGTGTGTGTGTGTGTGCGTGCGTGTGTGTGTGTGTGTGGTGTGTGTGTGTGTGGTTTTGTGTGTGTGTGTGTGTGTGTGTACACGTAATCAGGAGGGAAGCGGAAAAGGAGTGAGGGCAAGCTTTGGCATCATGTTTTGCAAAGTTATACCGACAAATCCCCAGCAGCAATCAACGTATTGGCTGTTCTTGTTAGAGTTGGCAACCAGTTAAGTCGCTCCCTTTCTCAGTTTATGGTTGAATACGTCGAAACTCGGCAGATTTCTTTCAACTGCCATTTCCTTTCGCATTTGAAACTGTTCTCAACGAGCCGAAAAAAAATGTTTCATTACTTGGTGAATTTTTTTTAGTTCAATCGAGTTCCAAGTTTTATATATTACACTCATTTTTTTTCAAGATACTTTTTAAAATAACATGAGGCTTAATTCGAATGAATCAAATTAATAATTATACATTGATAAACAGTTAAAAATTTCATAATAAAATACAACTTCGAGAGAGTTGATAAAAGAAAAAAAAAGTTTATTTCTCTCATAATATTTTATGATATGACGACTTCAAACTTTTTTATTATAACTTAAACTTTTGGAAGAACAATTCGTCGGACGAAGGTTTCTGCGAGGTTGAAATTTTTTAGAATATACGGGCAAACATTTTTCAAGAAAGGCGTGAATAACGACCGAAATATTTTTCGCTCTTCTAAACGTGCTCTACGGTTTTCCCACTTTGCTGTTCAGCCAGCCAATCCCTCCCGGCATGCTTTGCCGATCTCCTTTTTCTTTGTTCCTCCAAATGAAAGCATTTTAAGGTCTCAGCATAAAATTTATCCACCCCTTCGGTTAAACAGCTATGCACATCTCTTTTTTCTTCAGAAGTGCGGTAATCTTGATATTTCATTCCTTAATTTCGTTTAGTGCGATATCTCATGGATGATATAGAGTGAGATTCGTAATTTGTAAATTTGAAACATGTAAAATATATATATATATATATATACATTTTAGATGTCGCATAAAAAGTAAAAAATATTATTTTATTATTTATTACCTCGGAAATAATCATCTAGGATATTTTATATTCCGGCGAGAAAATGTGAATTATTGTAAAATAATATTTTGAATATTGATATTGGATGTTGAATGGATATTGATTAATATATTTTTTTCATTTTTAATAATTCTTTACGAACCTTTAAATATGCATTCAATTTCATCAAAAATCCTCAATAAAGAGAAACAATATTAAAACATTAATTAAAATTTTTTAGAAATACATAAATTATTAACGCGCTTATTTTACTTGGTATTTATTCGATTTTTTCTATTTATACTTTTTAAAAAATGGTGATTAAATTCATATCCATAATATTCTCAAATAATAATAAATCTGAAAACAATAATATACAATTTGCTATTAATGATAGTATAATAATTTTAAATAGAATTAAAACATCTTGTTTTACGTAAAAAAAATTAGATGGACCTACTCTTGGATTAAATAACAACTAAGTAAAAAAAAATATTAGAAGTAAAATATTTTTATCTCCTTTTTTCATGTTTTATACTCTTTGCCATTTTTTATTATACTTTTTTATCTCGTAAAAAAAATGAATATTTTCTTTGAAAACCTTACAATTGAGAATAAATGTGTGTAAGGTACGTAACAAATACAGCAAGTAGTGTTATAATATTCTATATTTCTTATTTGCATGCAAATATAAGAAATTGATTTAATTAGGATAGAATGTTTAATTTTATTTCTAAAATTCGAAAGTGTCACTTTTGATTTACCACGTCCGCATTTCGGAACGCGTGCCAATACGTGAAGAGAGAATGATTCTGCTAGGGATAATAGGAAGGTTTGATAGAAGATTTTGAAATGGAAGGGAACCAGACTCGCGTTGGGGTCCGTGTGACAAATAACCGTTAAAAACGCACCGTCGTAACTCCACGCCCTTCCACGCGACGCAAACCCGATATGACAACCTAGCGTGAGAATCGCGGGGGTGACAGAGAGGATGAGTAGAGATGCCCGGAGGGGTAGTAGCCTGGACGGCAGGGCACTTGATTACATCGCGATAGCAAACATCATGTTGATATAAACTTTGTTTCGTATGATATGGATACAATGGCTGTCTGGAATTCTGACTGTATATGTGCATCAGTCAGGCACCGTGTAACTTTGTAATCTTGTGATAACAAATCAGCGTGATGTGATTATGTGTAAACTTGAAACTTGTTTAGTAGATGATTTGATTTATATTAGGACATTGAGATGCATTAGTCTTGCATATTTGAAAGCTGATATATACGTATTATATTTTTTTGAAGCAGTTTGAAATTTTTGAATTATATATCTTTTGTTTTCTATTATATTAAATTATATATCTTTTCTTGTACTATGTACTTCTCTTAAGTTGTAAATTCTATTTATTTATGATTTTATCTGTGAATCTTCAAGAATTTGTCGTCATGTTGAATTCTTTATTAATGTATTTTAGCAAAAACTATTATGTTAATGATAGTTATCAGAAAATTTCAATGAAGTTATATTTTATAATAACAATGTACATTTTATCAAATAACACAATAAAATGTATTGAGAATTTCGAGGTTTAATTCGTTTCTATATTTTTATTATACATCTTTATGTCGATTTGTGTACGACGGTTTTAAAGTGCGCAGTGAAAAATCTGCCAGTGAAAAACGCAATAATATATGCATTTTTTATTCTCGGCCATTGGTTAATTGTATTTTTGAGATAATCGATCCAAGTCGAATGCGGAAGGATAAGCCGATAGCAAAAGTCGTAATATTATGGATATTTATGCACTTGGGCACGCACCGTATGCGAGGAAAAATAGAGTAAAAGGAGTCTGCTTACGGCCGAGAAGAGAGGTTGGTTTAGGTTGGATACCGGTGGCAGAGGTGAAACGGGAGGGTTTTTACGAGGCAGTAATGGCCGATAAGGTGAGCTTGCGCCCCCACTGTCGGGGGGCTTACTCCGCTACTGTACCCAAGTGACTGTTCAACAGTACCTATTCGCTGTCGTATACTCCCTTACTTTCTCTCGGAACGACTCATGCCACGCTTTATTTTAAGCCGTTTACACATTTCCTTTATCGGCACGAGCCTCGTTTATATCGCCGCGTTTGATATTCGCAGTCCCAAAGCGCTGCGGGATATCAGAAATTCGTTAGAATGCTCTTTTAATAAGTATCTTAAGTGGCAGCTCATAAAGATAACATAACTTGTTTTAAAAGATAAGCAGCAAGAATTAAATGACATATCGACTGAATCTACATCCAATTTCCATCAAAATATCTCACTAATGTACATATTTCTCTTGTTATTTTTAAATAAAAATTTAATATGTTTTTATTAATTAATTTTTTTATTTTAAATACTTTGACAACGTTTATGCGAAGATATGGTTGTTTACGTATTATTATAATCATTAGCGAAATAATGGAATTCTTTTAACGCGCCATTTTGCGCGGTTTGGTATATTTATAGTAGGAATGAATTAACATATTTCTGAAGAATGTCATCATCTCAATCGTTGTTTTGCTCGTAATTCTTACGGATAGATACAGCATGAGGAAAGAACAAAAAGAGTTCACCGCAACCCTTGTTTGTTATTCGCAGGGGCGAACGGAATGCGCAGGCGCGGCCGACAGACCTACACGCGCTACCAAACTCTGGAGCTGGAGAAGGAATTCCACACGAACCACTATCTCACCAGGCGGAGGCGAATCGAGATGGCACACGCACTCTGCCTGACAGAACGGCAAATCAAGATTTGGTTCCAGAATCGGCGAATGAAGTTGAAGAAGGAGATTCAGGCGATCAAAGAGCTAAACGAGCAGGAGAAGCAAGCGCAGGCGCAAAAGGCGGCAGCGGCAGCGGCGGCGGTTGCGCATCAGCAGCAAGGAGGGGGTGGGGGACCAGAGGGGGGCAACTAGGGGTACGCCCTGCATCGGAGCCCCCCTGACCACCCCACCGCCAATCCACACCACCCTCTACTAGCACCGCAATGTACACAGCTGTATTAAAGGTAAGTGTGATTTTTTTCTGATAATTTATACTTCCATTTCTTCTTAAGAGCTCTGATTAAATCGTCAGCCCGTGAAAAGAAAAAGATTCATCAATCTTTTTAAAGCATTTCAGTACCTACATACATATATCTTATACAATATACATACATTTATTAAATGTATACACTAAAAAAAATTTGTCCAACTAACTAAACACATTTAGTTTGCAGATTTTTAATTCAACAAATTTTTATTTAATCGAATTTAACCGTATGCTGCTTAATAAATTGTTCAATGTTAAGCAGACTACGGTTAAATTTGATTAAATAAATGATATGATAAAAAAGACATCTTTATATCTACACAAGTGTTTGCTACTAGAAACATATATGTAAATTCAAATAATTATAATTTTATTAATCCTTAACCGGAGCAACTACGATCTTTAAAGACCACACTATCAAAAGTTTCATTGTAAATTTTGGTAAATAAATTCAAATTTGTAAAAATAAATAAAGTAATTCGACTTCTAATAATGATAAAAAGTTAAAACTTTATAAGTATCAGAATTTTTTCAGATATTTATATAATCAAAGTAATAAAAAATTTGTTCTATTTTTCAAAGATACCTATTGCTGATGAAAATTTATATTGTCGAAGGTTAATAATTGTTATAATATTTATTCGTATCATTTTTTTAGATACTTATGAGTACATATATGTTTTTCGACAATATTAGAATATAAAATCATTGCAGTCTAGCACTCTTTGTGGACTAACAAAGTGGACGTATACATTTGATGCAACAGTTAGGATTATGTGACATACATTAAAAAAACGGTAGTCATATAAACGTTAAAAGCGGCGTTAAAAATGAGATTCGAGCTTTTAGCAGCTGCGGCTTTAAAATTAAGTTTACTCGGCGGGCTTAATGAGGATAAACCGCATACAAGCGTGCTTTCATAATTTTCTAAGTTATGCTATTCGCGTGTGTTTAACTTGCGCTGAACGTGCATCCCGAGGGAGCGACGAACGCAAACTTGAAATATCGTGTCGCGTTTTTCCTGTCGTTTCTGCCAGTATCGAATAAAAAACTTATCAGTTTTATTGCGCTGTGTTTGCTTCCGTTGCTTTAAACGGTTTTGGAATAAAATTACAACGTTTTGTATTGTGAATTTTCTAGTTACAAAATCGAAAATTGTCAAAGCACGTAAAAAAAAAAAGATAGAAAGTCACTTATAAATTAGAAACGATAGATTGTCTGAAGCAAGTGGATGACGCAAAGAAGAAAGTATAGAAAGCGCAAATAGGTAAAAAAAAAACCTTGACAATAGTATCAATTTCACTGTTCTATCACAAAAAATTTGCTGTAATTTATATTTCTATTCGAGAGCCAACTGTCCATTGTAAAAAAATAGAGGATCCTTTAAATTGGTCGGTCCGGACAATATCAAAAGGTAAAAAAAGGTTTCCGCTTTTTTCTTTCACACTTTCACGTGAATCTTTGTCGTTGTTAGAAGATATTTACGATTCTTCGCATATTTGAGTTAAAAAAACAGGCCTTAGAAACTCACACTGACTTTAAAAGTAGCATGCAATTTTGATTGTCGATTATGTTGCGCACGTATATTTTCTTTCTTACAAACACGAACACTTTTTATCGACTTCAACTTACAATATCTATTATGTTTTGAAATTTTGAAGATCATGTTTTAAGTTATTATGAAAAAGGCAGAGCTTTTTAAAAATAAATTTTTTAATGTAATATAAATAGGTAAAACATTAAATATCGTAAAAACACTACTGTAAAAAAATCACGCAAGCTTTAATTTATTACATATACGTTCTCAAAATATTTAATACGTCTGCGGCAGAAAGGAAGTACGCCAGGCAGAGAACTATGATCGAAACTCCTTATTCTTCGGAACCCACTGGAGCGCTTAATATCTCTTTTTTGGTATCTTCGGGCGACGAAGAAGTTCGGGCATAAATTTTGTCCCGATTGCACGTAATATTACGCCAGCGAAGCGATTCCCCGATTAACTCCGTGGATTGCACCGTAATTGTACGCCACTTGAAATGCGATTAAATAACTCTTCGCCGGTAATATTTATTTAATCGTGCTTATTTAATCGCCCATATCCGAGTAATCGTAGTCTTGAAATATTATAGAATCATTATCAATTTCTGCCACAATCATAGAAATATAATAAATGATTTGCTTAATGAAAATTTATATTTATATTTAATGAAAAATATATTTTATTTGTTACTGATTTTATTATTCATTATATTTTTGTACCTTTTTTGTCACATATACAGTTTTTATTTTCTATTTTTCATAATTAATACATTTTATTATACATTTCAAATAAAGTAGATAGAGAAACATGTTTACCATTTTATAAAGAAATTTTGTAAAAGGAGATAAATCGTTCTGAATTCCACATCCATTATCCGAAAAGGAATGAAATGTAGATTTGCTTCTGTGAGTCGATCTAGATATATGGGAAGATAAATTTTGATAGAGGACATGAAAAAGCAATTTAGGAGAGTTTTAATGGTCAATGTATGAGACAGTCGCGACGATATCGAATGATTAATTTATTTATCAAGCTAGGATTGTCATGAATTTCTTATTAGATTTAAAATGTTAAAAAAATTCATTCAATATTTTATATTTTTATTTGTATTTACATGTATTTAGAAAAAAAGAAAATTTTACCAAATAGTATAATTAAATAGTCTAATTAAATATTTTATATAAGAAATGATTTTATAATATAAATATTTAATATGTTTATATTTATATATTTTATGTGTATTTATATATACGTATAATATACATGCTGTATTGCACACGACAAACATGTTTCTAAATAGAAACGAGTAAATTATTTATAACCAGAGCATTTCTGATTATAACACTTACAATTAGGAATTATGATTACACTCAAGATCATTCTTTCGATTTATATTAATTAATAATTTTTTTGGTCAAATTTATCAATATTGAATACTCTTTAAATCTTGAATTCTTATCATTTTTATATTTTATAGAGTAAGATGATACAATTTCGAATATGATACAATTCTAAATGACATAAAAATTCGAATTTAATTTTTGAAGTTCAAGTTTGTGTGTGATTTTTTTTTTGTTTGATGCCCTTTGATTACCTTCTACATAATGAGATTAAAACCACCAAACTTGAATCTCGAAGATTAGATTATTTTATTTTATTATTTCAAAATTATATCATGTTCGAAATTGTATCACCTTACCCTTCTTACATGCATAATAATGTATGAATACCAATAGCAATGCCATCTATCGGTTTCAATAGTTTCTGGGTTAAGTTATGGCTGCTTTCATCCTTCCATTCGTGGGCGTGGTTAAGGCGTGGATATCTATTTTTTGGCGTTGGTTTATTATGTATTATAAAAATTTATTGCTGTTTAATGACACAAAATTATTAAACTATACATTAACTATATTAATTATTAGCAAATGTGTACTTAAAGTACACGAAATACAGAAAATAACATTCAAAATTTGAATTGCTCCATGTAATACTCCGCCAGGCACTTGTTTTGTATCCATCTAAACTACTCTGGTAGGTGGCAGCACGAATCAGCATTACTCTGTCGATAACATTTTGTCTTTCTTACCGACTCCTCTGTCGGTACATAACTTAATTTAGAGGTTGCCTCTACCCACCAAGCAGGATATATTGAGCGGTAGTTCGATGATCGCCCGTAATGCGCTTTATGGTTTGTTTTTATCGACGTGGTTATATAGTAACTCACGACCTTCCTGTTTCTCGGCGTGGTGAGTCGAATCCGGCACGAGCGACCGTGTGCGCGCATGTTGGTATTGGTGTCCTATAAAACGCGCGCCGTGCTGAGTCGGCAGTGCTATTCACATTTTCCCCGCGAATGCATTCCCGAAGCTATCGGTCAATAATCCAATAAACCCGCGATTCGCAGTCCCATGAAGAGAAAATAAAGTACGACGCTGCGTGATTTTATTGCGTAGTAAAGCGTGATTTCGACAGATCGATGCGCGATCACTATCGCCTCTTCGCGCGCGTTTACTTACTCGCTCGCCAAACGGGTAGGTCAGGGATCTTTATTGGCTGTAAAGGAAGACGTTTTACGATCCATAAAAGCGTTTATAGCGCTCAAGTAGTCTTACCTCGGTTCTTACATCCCGGTTATATCCATTACCCCTTCTGCGATCTTTCCAAGGGCGGCCACTGGCACGCGTTTCTCTCTCTTTCTTTCTCTCTCTCCCTCCCCCCCCCCCCCCCCCCCCCCCCCCCCCCTCTCTCTCTCTCTCTCTCTCTCTCTCTCTCTCACTCATGCCTTTGAGATTTACAGGTTACGCTCCCGGTAACACCTCGTAAACTTGGCTTAACGACTTTAACCGGGCCTAACTGCTTCCTTCCTGCAATCAGACCCTGACCTACCTTGCACACTGTCGTCCTAGAAAAATTCCAAGATATCAATTGCACGTGGCATTATTTTGCGATCTCGTCGAAAGACTTTATCATGTTTCTTTACTGGAGTATAATGATATAAAAACAATACTTTCATTCTACAATTATTTGTAATATACATATAATACTTTTTCATCAGCATTTTTAGCAAAGTTATATATTTCTTATACTTTTATTACGACAAAATTATTGTGATTTGTAATTATACATATAATCAGAATTTTTTTTACTTACAATAATTATTGGTAATTGTTATTACAGTGAGTAAAATATACGATAAATAATTTGTACTATCATATTTTTAGAATGTGCTAATATTTCTTTCATTACATTGCCGCGTTAACAAAAAAATTAGTAATAAAGTATTTTAGTTTTCTAATAATATAAAGTACGTTTTATAATTGTTAATAAAAACACTAAATATATAGGTACAGTGACAATTATCATCAATGTCCTTCTCAATAATCAAATTATGAAATAAAGATTATCAAAATGTTTTAATTATTTTATTTGCATATATA